AATTACAGCACAATAGCTCAAGACATTCCACTTCTGACATTTGTACTGCTAATTAGTTTCTGCTCAGTGTTACATTCCATCTTCTCTGTTTTACTTTGAAAAAAGAACATAAATGTAAATACATTTTTATATATCCAGATTTCCATTTCAATATTCAGAAGCAGATGTATAGTTTCAGTGCCCTGAGCAAATCTGGATATGTGACCAGTGCTTAGATGCCTCATTTTATACCCCATTATATTGCATTTTATTCCTACAGCTCTTTAAAAACAAGTCTGCTCAAAGAAGGCCCAATTAAAAACAAAATCTTCAAAATAATGAGGGTTTTATCCTCAAGTATCAGTTCCATCGCAGTTGTAAGAATGTGTGGCACCGCCCATTGAGCCCCCACCGTATCCAAGCGCCAGGGTGCTGTCTCCTCCTGGGCAAACCTGGGCTCCTGAAGGGATGTGCCTCCCACGGTCCCATCTCTGGAACACGGGGAACTAGGTTTCATCCCAAATCTCTGACTCCAGCACTCACTCTTTGTCCCTGTGCATCCCAGGCTTTTGCTATGCCTTAATTTCCAAACAGAATTTAACAACCTGAGAAAAATAATTTGAACTGTTTGAAATACTAGACTTGCCATTTTCTTTTAAATCAAACTGATACACCGGCATCCCTCAGATATTGCAGGTTCCACCACGATAAAGCAAGTCACACAAATTTTTTGTTTCCCAATGCATATGAAAGTTATATTCACAGTATACTGTAGTGTCTTAAATGTGCAATAACAATGTCTTAAAATTTTTTACATAGCTTAATTTTAAAATACTTTGTTGCTAAAAAATGCTGTCTGTCATCTGACCATGCAAGGCTGCCACAAAACTTCAATTTGTAGAAGAAGAAAAAAAAAACGCAGTATCTGCAAACTGCTAAAGGAAAGCGCAGTAAAACAAGGTATGCCTGTATCATTTTTTCTCAGCTGGCATCTTCACAGAGTTCACCCCTGTGGCTTACCCCTTGCCTGTGAAAGCTTGCTGATGTTCTTTGAGTTTCCAAGGGTGACCTGCCCACCTTTGATTCCTTCTGACACCCCAGGACGGATGCCCTGATAGTCTGCAGCTGAGGAGGGCATCTGACCCCTCTTCCCTCCTTTACCTGAGATGAGCCTTGAGGTGCCCGAGGCTGATAAAGTGTTTGATAACAGGCTTTCCTCAATTTTGTGTTCATATTCTGTTCAGCAGTGTTGAAATGCCAGTGATTCCTTCTTCCCAGACACCTCTGGTGGAAATTTACCAGGTAGCATAAACTGCTCATATTTATTGACAGATTTGCTTCCAGCAAGAGATCAATTAACTTGTTACACTTTGATAATTTATGAGTTTTGGATTGGGTGAAAGTCTGCAAGTGTGAATTCTGCTTGTTAACTATTCTGTTGTAAAGGAGTCCTGCCACTGTGATCTTTATAGATCTCAAGTCAGTCCCTTTTCGGCATCCTTTCTGCCCTTGTCTAGCTCAAAACCAAATATACTCCTACCCAGATGACTGGCAGCTGCCACCCTGCCTCCAGGCCCTGGGGAGCCAGGGTGAATCCCCAAAATCACAGTTTGACCATTTACTTCACTGCCCAGCTTACAGCCCACTAGTGGCCCCCTCAGCTGGTGAATCCAGCATCCCCTAAACCTTAGCCTGCCCTGGGTCACGTCACCTCCTGCCTGTCTGCTGTGAACCTGCCTGCTCTGAGCCTCAGCTGGGAGGCCTGTGCCCCTTGCCCCTGAATGTTTGTCCTCGCTCTGTCCTGACCCTGTTGCATCCTCCTCCTCCCCACCTTTACCCAGCTGACTCCACTTCCTCCTTAAAGACTACTCAGGCAGACATCAGCTTCTCCAAGAAACTGACTCTGATGGCCCTTCCGCCGCCAGGCCAGCCACCTCCCCTGGGGTCTCCACAGCATCTCCCTACAATGACCTTCCTCTTCCTCTTCACGCTCATCATTCTTGTCTCTCCATGTTCATGGTGTTCATGCCTCTGGCTCTTGCACTAGCCTGTGCTCCTGGCCACACCCCGCAAAGCAAGGATCCCTGGAGCGAGGGGGAAATCCTCACGGCAAAACACTTTCTGGGAATACATTGACCCCGTGGCTCCAGCTTGGTGACAGCATCGCTGCTGATGCTGATCCGGGCCCTCAGTTAACTGGAGCTCTCCCTCAGAATTCCCCCACCGAGGGGCTGTCTGCTCTGGCTGTCCCACCACCTTAACCCAGTTATTAATATCAGAGGCTCTGTAATAGTTGCAGAAGGGCCACTTTGTTGAAATTCTAGTACAGGTGCTCCGGATGATGTCCTCTGTGTCTTCTCACACAGTGATGAGAATGCTTTCACTGGAAAGGACAGATAAGTCAGAGGCCTCTGAGAGGTGGTAAGGGGTGGAACTCTTCATCATTCCTGCTTCTCTCTCCCTGGGGGCTCTGGAATGAGCACTGAGGACAGACAAGGGATGCACGGCCTCCTAGCTCAGGAGAATACACAGATGCTATGTTTGACCCAGATATGCAGCCGTTCAGGAGACTGACGTGGGGTGCTTGGTTTGTTTGTTTCATATGACTGTTGTGCAGAAGAGCTGCAGGGTTCCCTCTGTGAGCCCACAAGTGATACTCCCCACAGGAAGTGTGCGCCCAGGGCACGGTGTGGAGGCTCCTTCCAGAGGCTCCCAGGCCCTTGCAGGCTGCCTGGCACATATGCCATGTGTAGAGTTGGCTCTTACTGAAGGGTGCCGGCCAGGTTTTTAATGGCGTCTCAGTTGCTCAGGCGAAACATGCTCTAGTATCTTGAGGGTTTGGTTTGGTTTTGTCAGTGACGAGCGGGAGCAGGTGGTGTAGACAGTCCATGAGATCACTTATCAGAGTGGTCAGTGAACCCCGAAGCTTCAGGTCTCTGGGCCTCCCTGAGACCTTCTGGTCCTTTGTAGCTGCAGGCACTGGTGTCTCTGTCTGTCGTGGCCAGGTGTCAGCAGTAAGGCCTCCTGGAGGGGGTGTCTCTGTTTGTCCTTCACAGCCCTGTGACCGTCATAGATGGCTCTGCTTGGTCACAGCATGGCCAACAGACATCTGCATTGTTCTCCCACATAATGATACCGCCAGCAAGGACTCCGATATTCCAGGATGGATCCTGTGAAGGTAAAGGAACACACGCACACATGCGTGCACACACATACTCAACACACTCACACACACAAATACATCTCTTTATATGAGATTCACTTCTCAGAAACAAGTAATTTATACATTCACAGAATGATTAGCTTTCAGCTGAGAATTCTAACATTTTAGTACCACGATTTAGAATCAGGTTAGATTTGTCAAGTGACCGAAATTGAGGTTTTCCAGAAATTATTAGCTAATTTTTTCAGTATGGAATTTATAGTCACAATTAGTATATCATAATGATGTTTCCAGGGTAAAATACCAGCAGCTCAACTTTCCTGGCCACAACTGTACAGCATATATCAGTTTATTTTTGAAGATCTGAAGAATTAGCTACTGTAAATAAAATTTCCAAGAAGATTTCTCCGGGAAAGAGGTGAACTTACAGTAATATGGGTGATATATTATTAATTAATAACTGTGACCAGCCACTGCCTCAATTAAAAGGACAATGGATGAGAAGGCCTAATAGGCAAGACATGCTGAGTTTTAATCTCCCAGGCACTGAGGTTTGCAGAGCAGACTAGGGAGAGCTGTTTCTGAGGCTGTTAGTAGGAGGCCTCTGGGCTAGAGATCTCACCAGCCGCCCCTTGGTCTGACTATGTGTCTCTCCAGCGCAACGCTCCTTTGGTTGCCATTAACGAAAACCAAGTGCAAAATAACTTAAGGAGGAACAGGACTTTCTTGGAGGGCCACAAGGATCTTTCAGAACCCAGGAGAGCATGTGCTGATGGGCCAGGGAGGCCGTCACGTGGGACCGAGACAGGCAGGCACCTATCTCTGCCTTGAAGGGGAATCTGATTGGCATGTCTGGCCCAAAGGACAGACACGGGGGTGCAGACAGGGCTGCAGATGGCATGGTCCGGTGAGCAGGTTTGACAGGCTGAGTACTGTATGGGAGGCCACATGAGAAGGTGCCTAGAAATGTGTCCCACAGAGGTGCCAGTGAGCACGGGAGCACCAGGGTCGGCAGGCCTTTCTGAGACCTGTTAACGAGAGAGGACATCCCAGGTGGGGACAGGTGGGCATGTGCAGTGCCCTGGGCTGGCCTGTGGCATCTGAGGGTGGTAAAGTGAGGTGAGGCTGGACCAGGAAGCAGTCCCAGAAATGACAAGGTGACCCTTGTCACTTCTGGGTGTTGAGCACCAGCTGTATACAAGGTGGCAGGAAAGGGCTGTGAAAGAATTTGGGTCTAAGTGGGATTTGTATGTTCCGAGGATCTGACCCCTTAAGTCAGTCTGCTTTGTGAAGTATGAAGTAGCAGCTTTGTAGCAGCCTCCCTGCCCCAGTCCACCCAGCCTTCCCGGGTAGGTGACCAGAGGCCTCAGGAGCAGCCTCTACATGGGATCACAGGACCAGGACGTCCCTCCCAGCCGGGCCCAGGCTGCGGAGAACCTTGTCATAGCATTACCGTCGGCCTTTCTCCTCCCTGTTGCTCATTTGACTTTAAGCACAGTTATTTTACTTTTAGAGTAATAATTTGGAGTTAATTGGCCTTCTGCCTTAAAAAAAAATACCACCTTTTCTTTGTAATTATTATGTAGAGGTAGTTCATAAAGCCTTCCTAGACTGCCGTTTCCCTGAACGTACTCCAGCATGGAACGGGGCCTAACCAGCCGTTTGATTATTTTTTTTTTTACTGCTTCCTCCCTGACCTGTGATGGGAAAGTGAGTGACTCCTGAGAAGTGTGGTTTCCATGCCGCCTGCCCTGGTTGTCCCTGGAGCTGGGATGATAAGGGCAGGCTGTCTGGGGGCCTCCCCATAGGTCACCCACCAGAACCCCCTCAACCCTGCCTTCTCTCTGTCTCCCTCCAGGTCACGCAATATTTAAACTCACGTATCTAAGCAATCACGACTATAAACACCTCTACTTTGAATCTGACGCTGCTACCGTCAATGAAATCGTGCTCAAGGTGAGTGTTCCTCCTTGTCCCAGGAACAGGGTGTGCGGGCCAGCTCTGCCAGGGCCCAGTTCTCAGCACCTTCCCCTTCCCCCCCAACAGTGGACAAGGCACCCAGGCCGGTTTTGCAGAGTTAACTGCACTGCCTACCAGTTGCCCAGCTGGTGAGCACCCAGGCCTGAGCCACACGGCAGGTCAGCTGCTCTGCGCCTGCTTCAGCCAGAGCAGGACCCCCCTCATCTTTTCCCAGTTCCCCGATAATCCTGTCTCAACACGGCCCAATGAGCACCTTCTGGATGCCAGGCTCGGACTTAGGATCCTGCAGAGACAGACCCAGGCCCTGGCCTCAGACAGCTTTTCCTCTGTCAGAGGAGACAGACGTTAAGAAAATACAGAGAGATGGTTAGAGTCACAGGGTGCCAAGTGGGTGTCTGAAGGGTAAACAGACTCGGCGCAAGGTGTGGGGAGGCAGGATGAGCTGAGACTTGAAGGATGGGTGGAAAAGTCCAAGCTTTCCCAGGGCAGGGGAGAGAAACAGCATGTCAGACAGGGAGCAGAGGCAGGGTGAGTGCAGTGGGGCTGGGAGACAGCACCCAAGGCCGTGTGGCTGGGGCAGGGAGGTTGGAGGGGCCGAGCCACACGGAACCTTGCAGAGCAGAGTCAGGCTGAGAATAGCTCCGCTGGGGTCTCGGGTTCAGGAAATCTGGGGCAGGGCCCAAGGTGATGTGTCTTTAAGGCTCCCAGGTGCTACCCAAGATGCCGGTCTGTGTACCACACTTGACGTAGCCCTGGGCTACTGGTTTTCAGGCTCTTCCAAGTTGAGAGTCCATTCTCCAAACCAAATCTTATGTAGAATGACCAGATGGAGAAAACAGCACTGCTCTGGCAGAACAGGGCTTGGAGCCAGAGAGGGGCTCCCCCACCCCTGGCTCTGTGTGACTCTGCCCATTCATATCACCTCCCTGGGCCTCAGTTTCTCTTCCTATAAAATGGGGATCATGGTAGCTACCCTGCCCCACCCACCAAAGGGCTGCTAGTGCACGTATGAAATGAGATACGGTGAGCCTCTCCCTAAGGGACTGTTCGTTCTCTTAAGAGTGGACGTCATCACCTAACAGTAATAGAAGTACTGAGATACACGGAGTGGTTGCAAAGTGCAGGAGCTGGGCAGGTACTTTACTATCCTGTCTCACGGAACCTTTACAACTCTATGAGCTGGTGATACAAAATCGCTCCCATTTCCTAGATGAAAACTGAGTATCAGAATAAAAGGAGCTTAGCCAGAACTTGACCCAGGTTTGGCAGATTCCAGAACTTGTGCTCCTGACCCCCCAGTGTGCTTAGCCTTGGGAAGTTGAATGGAAGTCTTCAATGAAATGAAATTGTTTTACAGAAACATTTTGAGGCAAAGTCCTCGTGGCTACAAAAGATTTGCAAAAGTGGTGGATGAGAATTAAAAGGATAGAGCTGAGACAGAGTAGCAGGGTCAGCTGGATGGAAGGCAGAGGGTTCACGGACCACCCCGGGTCAGAGCCCCTCAGAACAGGCAAGGGACAGTCTCTTCCTGGAGTGCTCGAAGCCAGCGAGCTAAGAGTTACTTGCCAGAGTGTCCCCAGACAGCACAGGGAGCTTGTGTGGCATTCGGGGGCCAGGTAAAGAAATATTCCATTACCCCGTCAGGGGCTGGCCTTTTTTTTTATAGCCAGTATTAAAATATTCAAGACTTGAGAAGGATTCTAGTAAAATTATAATCCTGTGTTTGACATCAAAATAATTTTCACAACAGCAGATTGATGACAGAAACACAGGTTTATGACTTCAGAACGAGACTGTGGAAGAGCAAGTGCAGAGAAATCATTTTCCAGGACCAAACGCTCCCTCGAAGCAGATGCTCTTCTGCAAAATCCCTGAGGCCTGTCGCCTTCCCTAAAATGTCTGTTTTCATATGAAAATGCTTGTAGAAATACTGCATCATGCACGAGACTCCAGGAGAGTCACAGCCTGATTTACTTAGAGAGCTTACGATCACAGTCCTGATGGAAGATTAAATTTCACTTCTCCTATCTCTGATTTTTATAGGAGTTTAAATACTTAGCCTCATCTGCTGTTCCCAGTGTCTTCATGGGCTTTGCACCAACACCAAGTGATTGAGGCCCACCTGGTAGAAATGTTTCCATCAGAGGTTCTTCACAGCTCAGTCTTAGATACAAGTAATGCATGTGGTAGTTCTAGAATTCAGGAGTTTCACATAAAATAAGAGCTTTAGACTGAAACTGAAGGGCGGAAATAAGGACCAGAGGCTGATGTCACATAAACTGTTACAAACAGGCAGCTCTCCATCAAGTTACTTTAATCTCATTGTGTTTTTCTCCATGGGACCATCTATTGAGCTCCGACTGTATACAAGACATTTTATGTATATCATCTCATTTCATCTTCACAGTGTAAACATTATTATCCCCACTTTATAGATGAGGAGATAGAGGCCCAAGGCCACAGACCGCATAGAGGTGGAGCCTCAGCTTGATCCCAGCTGAGGAGTCCCAGACCTACTCCCTCCCCGCCCCCCACATGGAATTGAGCTCAACCATGTGTGGTCCCTCATTCTGCAGGCTTTGAGCTGAATCTCAGAGGACTCATTGGTCTCTTCAAATTGGGTTCTTCTCGTGATCGAGTGATGGAGGCTGTGACTTTATTGACCATGAAAACTCCCTATATTTTTATGCCTTAAGCTGTAAAATGCATTGAAAGTGAAACACTCTATAGTGCATAAAATTGTGCAAGTTTTAAGCCACAGCATATTAACCAGCTAATGGCAGACCAAAGGGCGTTTTTATCTTTTGATTATTACATTAATCTTCCATTAAAATTATCTATGTGATTATCACAAAGCACTGAAGATAATAAATTTAGGAAATAGTTGGCCTGTTAAGGATCATTTTAAAATGCTTTTGTCAAGTTACATGTGCCAAAAATACACTGAAAACAGTAGGTTGGCTGAGTGTGCAAACAATCTAATCCAAAGATTGCTCTCATTAAGAATGATAAAACCTCTCATTTTCCATGCATTGTCTGCAGTGTCCCAAATCGTCACCCGGCCCTGCAGTCCGCATGATTTATTGCTCTCAGCTGGTAACTTGGCGAGGCAGTGGGCCGAGCATGTCAGGCCTTCTGTACTCACTCACACACCAGCCTTTAAGGCCTGCTGCTGGCGACTATCAGAGCAGAAAGTTTGGAGGGGACACCATGGCGGAGCCCCACGTGAGGCGAGCCATCCGCACCACCTCCCCTCTGCACCCTTGGCTCTTTCTCAGTCAGCAGAGCCCCCTCCCTCTCTGGGTATGGGACACGTGGCCCTCAGAGTAGAAACAACGGCGGTGGTGGCTGGTTTCTCTAGCCACAGACATTCAGATTTCTAGTCATAACTTTTAGATGCTTGAGGTTGAAGAGAAACAGTGTTCACAGAAAGCCCCAGCTCAGGGCAGGGGGAGGAGAAGGGTCTGAGGAGGTCAGGGGTGAGGGCCCCAAGGAGGCTGAGGGCCTGGAGAATTGGCCCAGACCCTGGTCCAGACTTTTATTAGCTTCATGACCTCAAGTAAACACTATTACCATTCTGTGCCTCAGTTTTCTCTTCTGTACAATGGGGATAACAATGGCAGCCCTCCCATAAGGCTGTTGTGAGGGTTAAATGAATTCATCCTTGGAAGGCACTCTGGACACTGCTGCTGCCACCACCATCACCACTGCCCCGCCAGGGGCTCGCCCTCACACCAGGTGTGGGTCTGATCACAGCACTGCTGCCCTTCGCTGGCTCCTCCCACCTCACCTTGACTGGCCTGTCAGCTTCTGCAGTCCCATGGACATCCCTTGCTGTGCTCCACTGCTATGCCTTGATGCACGCTGGCTCTCCCCTGCCCCTTGTGCACCCCAAATTCCTATTTATCTCTCAAAACCCAGCTCATTCATTCCCTCTGCAGACTTCCCTGTCCCATGCCTCCCCAATAGCTACTCTACCCATTCCTTTCTGCTCCTTCTGTGTCTGTGGTCACACTTGTCATGCTTTTGGACACTCACTAGGCCATGAGATCCTTGGAGCAGGGACCAAGTCTTAATTTTCCCTCTGCCCCTTGAACCAAGCATGGGGTGAGGCTTAGACAAGGCAGGTGCTCCGTGCCAAAGGTGATGGTGACAATGACTGTGTGTGCTGCTGCTGCCCAGTGTGTGGGGATCTGAGAAGACCCCAGGAGGCCCTGGTGGGAGCCCTAGGAGGTGCCTGGCTGTGCCCCCCTGCACAGGGTTTCCATGGCCCCCCTCCTGGCTCTGGCCCCTGACCTCTCAGTGATCCTGGGTAGCTCAGTCCTCTTCTGTGAGCCTCACTTTCCTTTTTGTCAAATGAGCCATAGCTGGTGGGCTGCTTGTGAGCATCAGAATGCCCCAGTTGGAAGCTCTACCTGCTTGTGGGAGGCTGAATGGAGAGCTTTGTTTTGGTTTGGTTTTCATCCCTGTCACGTCCTTCCAGACGAGGGAAGTGGGGCTCAGGGAAGTTGCGTGTGAGCCCAGGGCTGCACGACAGTCCAGGCGTAGCACCAGGAAGCCCAGGGCCCATGACGAGGAGGGAACACAGGCTCTGGCATCAGAAAAGCTCCCCCACTGACTGAAAGGCCTGTGTCTCTAGGCCTTTTCCCGTCGTGTGGTGGGTTCCGGTCCCAGCCCGTCAGGTCGCCGTGATGGCTGGACTCCACGTGCAGGACGGCACCCGCCCGGTCATGGCCGTCCCTTGCTGGTCCAGGGCGAGCGGAGAGTGGCTGGCAAGTGACTGGGCTGTGTCCTCTCGCTTTCTAGGTTAACTACATCCTGGAATCACGAGCAAGCACTGCCCGGGCTGACTATCTTGCTCAAAAACAAAGAAAACTGAACAGACGTACAAGCTTCAGCTTCCAGAAGGAAAAGAAATCAGGGCAACAATGAGACCGGCCTCCAGCTTCAGTCTGTTGCCGTAGCTCAGAGCCTGCCTGCCGGGGCCGGGTGGCCCTAGAGCCTGCCTGTGTCCTGCAGTCCTCGGGGGAGGCCAGCCCCTGGCTCACGGGGACAGGGCTGGTGGGCTCTTGGGTAAGGGGGGCACCCCTAGGACGGAGCTGGGACATTTCCACAGGACCGAAGCCTGAGTGGTAACGGCTGTGATCAGCAGTGCCCGGGGCCAGATGACGCCGAGAGGAGCCACGTGCTGCCCAGCCACCTTCACTGCCTGATGGCCCTGCCCGAGGATGTACATAGCCATGCCCAGACATCTCCTTGCAACTTGATCAAATTTCTTAAAACAAACGGAGAACAAAAATGTACATTTCTTTTTTTTTCCTTCCTTTTAATAAACTCTTTATCGTGGTTGGTATGATGGACCATTCTTTGGGGCAGAGGATTGATTATGTTATTCTCTTTAAAATCTGCTCCCATATTGAACAAGCAGATTGGAAAAGCTATGGCTCGATTTTTCAGAAGAAATGTTTAGGGTTTAGTCAATAGTTTTAACTATGCCATTTGTTTAAATGAGTGCATTGCTCTGAGGATAGTCTCTTACTAAAGGTAGGAAGGGACCTGGTGACGTGTGTCCAAGGCTGCGCCATTTTCCCCTTCAGAAGCCTCTCCACAGCTCGTCCCAGCACCTCTGATTTCAGAGACGCAGGACTGCATGCAAAGCTGGGGCGCAGGGAACGGGGGTCACGCTGGGCTCCAGAAGTGGTCTCTTCCATTTCTCACATAGCAAATCAAAGTTTCAGCTGGCAACTGGACCCTCATGTGGATTTTCCTGGTCTCGGAAGAGTCTCTGTTCTGCTGTCTTGGAAGGGCCTCGACTCCCTTCCTGCCTCTGCTCACAGTGCCTGCCCCCTGGTCTGAGCAGGCAGGAAGCTGCTGCTTTCGCGCCATCAGGGAGATGGGAGCAGGGCCTGCAGGGCTGGGACACCTGAAGCCACAGGCCCTGTCTCCTGGGGGTGGGGGGCCAGGGATCAGGTGTCCGCCAGCGCCACCCCTCTGGCCACACCAAATGCCTCCACAGTCCTCGCCAGCCTCTCCAGGATCCCTACCAGGGTGACGTCCTTTCACACTGTCCCTGGCCAGGTTCGAGGACTGGAGACTTCACTGAGGACCCACATTTCAGTTTTCTACATCGTTGTCCAGAAAGAGATGTGACTGAAATGGTCGAGTGTCTCTTTGCACAGGCGTCATCCTAATGAATTCCTCTTGTTCTGATTTTTGTTCAGCCGACAGAAGCATCCTTTTCTAATGTCTTCCATTCCTACCCACCCCAGAAACAAAAGAAATATTATTTGTAGCTTGCTATCTGTATTTGAATTTTTAGCAATTTTATATTTAGATATCTTTGGAAAATGTAAATGACTAATTTGGTCATTAAATCTTGTGACATACTCAAAATAATAAAATAAAAGTCATAAATACCTTCTTTAGCGTATTGCTTGGAATTCTTGAAGTCTTGGTTACATAATGTTGAAGACGGCAACAACCCTGAATCGCTCTGGGTAGTAACATTTGCTGGCAGTTGACATGGTACTGAGAGGCTCTGAAATGCATCGTGGGCCTCCTTAATACTGAGCAAGACAGGGTGACGCTCATCACTCAAGGGTGACACTGAAATCATCACCTCCTTCAATTACAAAACCAACACCATTCTCATGTTGTGAAATACAGCACACGTGCAGTTTACATGAAACACACACTTGAAGGAATAATTTAAGGGGAACACTAACCACTGCCCAGGTCAACCAAATATCAAGACTGCTTAAGTTCAGTTTTCCCTCAGCCCCTCTCACACCCCACATCTGGATTTTAAGGTAAGACCATGAGCATCTCTCCCTTGTCTCCCAGGGCCAGGTTTTACAAAGCGGGAGCTCAGACGCCCACGTTACACTGAAGTCACCGGACAAGCCTGCTTCCACTTTTCCAGTAGCATCTCCTGGCCTGGTTCCAGTGTGGCCCCCGCCGACAATATGGTCACTCACGACTGCCGAGTCGGGGTAGCCTGACAGGCCTGGGAGCAGCGGTCCCTGGAACCCTGGCCTCTGCCCGCCACTGTGTTGCCCCCACCAGGCGGGCTGAGTGCCGGCCCGTCATAAACACGGACAGGCCAGGTAACCCCGCAGCCAGCCTCGGCAGGTCCCGTCAACACCTGCATCCTGGAGGGGAGGACTCTGGGCTTGGAAAGGCCAAACCTTTCGTCTGGGAAGCACAGCGACTAACACAGGAGCCGCCCTCTTAACCTCTGGGCTCCATCCTCCACGGGGCCTCAGTCTTCTCATCTGGAAATGAAAATGTGGGATTAGATGACCCCTGCAGACCCTTCTAGAGAATGTCTTAAATGTCTCAGAATCACAGTGAGCCCAAACTTCCTTCCAGTGGTTTCTGTTTTCCAAAACCTGCCGGCGCTCCTCTGCTTCTGAACAAGAATTCTAGGAGGTGAGAAACACTGAGCTCATCCCGTCCAGCCTCCTCGCTCGGAGCAGCCAGTATGTCTCCTCCCGGGGTCTTTGAGCCTCTGCCTGCAGACCAGCGACAGGGCACGTGCTGTGATTCAGGTCGGTGCTTCTCCCGGTGGCCCGCTTGGTCCCCCTGGCCAGGACTCACTCGGCCCTGCCCTGCCAGCACCGCGTGGTGGGTCCCTCTTCCCAAGCCCTCCCCTACCTGGGCCCTGGGACCTATATCCCTGCTGCCTCGGGAGGCCCACCACATTGACATCCCTCTGAGTCTTCTCTCCATGGGTTAGAAAGCTGGAAGGGGCTCCCCACCCCTATTGTGTCCCTAAAACCCACCAGCTGCCCCTTCGGGTTCCAGGTTCCCCAGGCCAGGACTATGAAACATCAGGACAGAGGGGAGTGAGGTCCTGACTTGGCCATCACAACACTCACAGTCTGGTGAGGTCAAGGGGTGGCAGGTAAGGCCAAGGCCACATGGCAGTGAGGGCCACGCAAGCACTGTGGGGACCAACAGTGCCAGGCAGAGAGGCTGGAGGTGGGAGCAACAGGTAGGGTGGAGGCCTGGAGGCTCGAGGTGTTGGGGGCAGCAGCAAGCGCCAGGCTGGGGGCCACCACGTCAGGCCCTGACCAGCCCTACTGGAGCCGGACAGTTGTGGCTTCTTGATGCGCTACAGCCTCCCTGGGGAGGATGAAGCCCCACCCCAGCTGCCCCAGAACAGAGACACCTGGCTTCTCCACCTACCAGCACATCAAGAGCTTGTGAGTTTCCCATCCAGGCGAGGATGGCGGCTGCCAGGGGCTGAAGAAGGGGCCTGAGACTGGGAAAGGGAGCCAAAGGTGGGGAGAAGGGGTCTGTGCCTCTGCCCAGCTGCCTCCAGCCTGCCCAGCCATGTGCCCACATCAGCTGGCCAGGGGGCAACCAGTGCCCTCCACGGGGGCAGCCCTGGCAGGACCAGCCCCCTGGCTCCTGGCACAGGCTCCTGCCACCCGACTCCTGCCAATGCTGCCATGGGATGCTCTCCTCCAAGAGAGGAATGGGAAGAAGAGAAGGAAGAAGCAAGGGTTCCCCAGCTCCAGGTCAGAAGCCTTAGGGGGCAGCCCTGGGGACAAATCCCAGCTCCCCACACCCTGGTCTGGGAATGTGAGCCTCTTCATTGGGCAGAAGCAGCAGGAGCCAGCCCAGCGCTCCCTGCGGGGATCAGTTGGTCCTAGGACTGATGGGGGCCCTCCTCTACTTACTGGCCTCACTCCCTCCAGGTAAGTGGTTAACTCGTCTGTGCCACGGTGCCCTTGTCTGTACAATGGGATGAAAACGCCCACTTGCAGGGCTGGTATCAAGATTTAATGAGACAATATACACGCACAGTGCCTGCTGCGTAAGCTCCTGATAAATGGCTTCACGGTTGATGTCCGTCATCCCACTTAATCCAGTTGCCTGGATGCCATGTCCTCCCCAGTGGTGCCCTCCCCAAGAAGGGGCCCAGCTGTGCCTGAGCTGTCCCCACCTTGAGTTCCAGAGTCAAAGAATCTGCCATGGCATCTTCCTCAGTGCCCAGGAAGGAGGGCACATGGGAGCCAGGCCTCGGCCCTCTGCCCCAGGGACAAACGGCTTGATTCGGGGGCCCTGTGCCATGGGCTTGCACACTGTCCGAGTCCCAGAGCCGGCCTCTGGGACTCTACCCAACCTGTGCTTCCCCAGTAACTGATTTTGCAAAATGAATGCTCACTGAGTACTCTCTTAAAAAAGCAGACTCTGGAGCTGGGCAGATTGTGCTCAAAGTCCAGCTCTGTCTCCTGGTTGATGTGTCCTCGGATGAGCTACTTTACTTCTTTGAGCCTCAGTTTCTTCTTCTGTAAAATGGGGACAACAGTACCCACTTTCAAGGGGCTTTGTGAGGATTGGATGGGTTTACCAGTCAGGATGGGCTGGGCTGGGCTGGGCGGGGCTACAATAACACCAACAGCCCCAGGGCCTCAGAAGCTTTCACACAACAAATGCTCACTTTTCGCAGTCAGCTGTGGGTCCAGCCATCCTCGGGCTTCCACAGAGGCCCGGGGAGGGGACAGAAGGGCTAGAGAATGGGCAGCAACAATGAGACACCATGGTTCAAAAGTGGCAACTGTAACTTCCCACCTCCACTCACATTTCACTGGCCAGAATCAGTCACCCGGTGACGTCTGCTTCAAGGGGACAGAGGGATGCCAGCCAAGGATCTGTGACTACAGATATTTGGGAAAGAGCCATAACATCTGCCACCATGAGATGACTCTGTGCTTCCCAAACAACACCATTCACAGGCTGCCCGAGGCAAGATCTCGTCTGTGATTAAATATTTTCCCTTTCAACTGAACCAGCCTAACCCTGTTCTCTACCTTAAACTTCATCCTAAACAAGAACAGCCATGAAGTCACGGACCTGGTGCCAAGCACGTAAGCTCTCTGTGCAACATGAAATAAATACATAACTGTTCATATTGGAAACATACACCCACGTAGCCCTGAAGTCACATCGTGGAAGACCACAGTTACGCCTCCCACGCTGGGAAATGTCAGCTAAGCTCACACTCTGTTCTTTTATCAGTGTCTGCACCTGCTTCTTATTAAGCTCTCAACCAAGGTTACTTACTGTTTTATTAACCATTTTCTCAGTCCATCCTCATGCCCACCTAATCCCCATTTCACAGATGAGGAAACTGAGGCAAAGAGAGGCCTCAGCTGAGGCCATGCAATTGGGAAGGGATAGAGAGGCTCTCTCACCTCCCTCCCTCTCCTCAAGCTGTCCCCAGCCTCGCTGGCCTACGTCTCAGCTGACGTGACCCAAACGCCCAGGATCCTGAAGGCCCTGCCGGGAGGACCCTGCTCTTTGGAAGGGCAGCCAGTAGAGGGAAAGGGTTAAGCCTGTCATGTTGTGTTCCCACCAAACACCTCTGCTTAAATGCAAAATCCCAACAGGGTGGTGTTTGCTGTAAAAGCTCTAAGAGTGATTTGTGAAGTCTCGAAGGCCCGTAATCTCGTCAGCGTAATGGGATTATATTTCAAATCACCACGGCCTGTTCATTACCCATTTAAACTCCTCTGACAGAGGAAAACTTACATAAAACGTGCACGCAGTCCTTGCCGACTTCTCCACTCTCCTTCCTGATTAGACAAACAGATGCTGAGGTCTGGAATGAAAAAATAATGTGCCCATTTATTCATTTTTCTGACAAGTCACAATAGATTTTTAACTGCCAATGAGTGACCTCCCGGAGATGCAGCGGCTGGGAGGTGGCCGCCAGGCAGCGAGTGGTCATTTCCTAACCTGGCCAGCGGTGTCTCCTGGGACCAGAGCTGAGCCAGGCTGAGGCACTCTCCTCGCTCCGTCCCAGCTGAGGCTGTCACCCAAAGGATGGGGGCTGCCTGCTGGGCCTTTCAGCTGTCACCACCCAGAGGGGTCCTGGGGCCTCCTCAGGGCGACCAAGACGCAGGCATGGCCTGAAGTCACAGCCCCAGTGGGAGCCCCGGCCCCGCCTTGTCTGGTCCAGTAACTGAGGACATCTTTCATCTCCCCAAGCCTCAGTGTCGCCGTCTGTAAAATGGAGACAGTAAGAGTGCTCATCTCGGAGGTAAGGGCTCCGTGGCCCGGCTCCCACCCCAGGCTCCCCTAGATGGCCATCCAACCAGCTCCATGGGCTGTGCCGAGGTGGGGACAGCTTACCAGGCGCCAGGCTCTCCTTCCCTGTGACCGCTGGCGTGATGGGGTTTTGCAGATGGGCTGTCACTTGCTGGATCTCCCTTGCTCTCTGCTCCGTGACGATGCCTGGAGCAAAGGTGGGCTGGCGAAGGGGCAGCTGTGTCAGGTACTCCAGCTCTGCCCGCCCCCTCCCCTGTCCAAGGGTCCCCCCTCCTCATTCAGAAGCAGGACTCTGCTCCTGAAGACTTGTGGCCCCAGAGCTGGGCCAGGCCACCACCCACTAGAGGGGCCCTGTGGCAGTGAGCGGAAGAGGGCAGTCTTTCCTCTCCTCTGTCATCAGAGCCCTACCCTCTCATAGAGCCCCATGAGCTCAGCCTCAATGACCCCCAAGTTACCTCGGTCTGGTCACATGGTGCCCGCCTCCCCACCCTCCCACTGCTCCTGTAGCCAGATGCCCTGAGCCCGGAGACAGGTTGGGAGGGCACCAGCGCGGATCAACGATGCTCCCCTGAGAGCTGGCCTTCAACCCTGGAGCCCACGACGCATTGTAGATTCACAGCCAGTCACACCTCCCAGCTCCCTCTGCACACCCCTCCTATGGCTTTTTCTGGAAAAAACCCAGCCACAGTCTTCCTGAAGGCAAACCCCAGAACTGGGGGCAGGGGTCAGTGAGAGTTATCTTGGGGTCCCGCCCAGGGCCTGGCATGGGGGTGGTAGCACCGAGCACTTGCTACGTCAGCTCACCCTTTCAGCCCACAAACACTTGAGCACAGCCTCTGAGCAAGGCCTTGGCCCTCAGGCTGCAGCAGGAACACAAATGTTAATGCCCTCTGGACCCCCTCACTTGTCAGGGAAGTCACACTTTGCCTCAGAGGCCTGGGAGAGATGAGAGCCAGGAGCTGTACTGGGGTTGGGAGGCAGGCCAGGACTGGGACCCACGAAAGACCCGCTTCAGCCACTGGGAGCCAGCGAGGGACGAGGTGGCCAGGTGGGTGAATGTTCAAACAGCCTCAAGACTGACGTGAGACTCTGCAGAAGGAATGAAAATCTGCCTCCTTGCTGTGTGACCTTGGATCCATGACTCAACCTCTCTGAGCCAGCTTCTCATCTGCACTATTGGAACAAGATCCCATCTTCAGTGTAACCGGCCTGGCACACAGTAGGGGATCAGTAACAGGTAGCGACAGAGACAGGATGTCGTCAGACACTGGGAACACACAGGCCAAAGCCTCCCTCTGCCAGCAGGCCTCAGGGGGCACCCCAGCACCCCCAGAGAAGCCCCCCAGATCCAGCTGGGGGCCTATGCCCTCCCTCCAAGGGCCCTACACCAGCCCTCTCCTCTCACGGGCACCGCCTGACCGCCTGCCTGAGTCGCCCCAGGCAGGGTTCACATCTTTATGCATTAACTCCATGAATATGTAAGAAATACTGTGAGGCTAATTCTTTTTAAAATGATAAAATTTGTCTATATTATAGCATTCCAGCCCCCAGCTTCCTGAAAGCTAAAAATATTTTAATGTCATATCTCCATGTAAATTTTAGTTTAGAATTTAATACCCTTTTAACATACATTAAATTTTTAGCATTCTTCAAGCCCTCGACTCTTGTAAGGGCTTAGCTGATGTGCGTTGCAGTACAGGGCTGGGGAAGGTGTAAAGTAGGAGAGAAAGTTCTAGAACTAGGTTACCCCCAAACCTCTGTGCCCACCTCATCCTGGGAGTTATTCTTCTGGGCTGAGAAACGCCTGAGCCAAACCATGGAATCCCAGGGAGGTGTCAGAAGTCTCGGTTTCCTGGCTGGAGTGGCTGTGACTGGATAAAACAGATCTAGTGGTGGCTTTACTGAGGCCCCGGGAGGATCCTCTAGCGGCCCGGCTTGGGGAGCCAGATGGCCTGGGGCCAGCAGCCTGGGCGCTGCGCTCTGATTGCCCAGCACAGATCCTACTGCTGCCACTTGCCGGCAGGTGACCTTGACATGCTTTCTGTGCCTGTTTCCTTGCCCCAAAATGGGGCCAAGGTCAGAGTTCGTGCACAGGCTCTGAGTGAACACTTGTGAAAGGAGGAGGTCGTCGACTCTGCAGAGGAGGTGGCCTCCAGGGTGAGTTGGCTGGCCTTGCTCAGGGCTCCGGGGTGATGACGAACGGGAGCTGAAGCAGGTCACTGTATCTGTACCCCGGCTCCTGCTCTTAGAGTGACACCTCATCACCCACAGTGCAGGACCCCCAGGGGTGTCTGCAAAGCCCCATGATTGGCCCATGGGCTGCAGCCTTCCATTAGGTCCCTCCCAGGGCAAGGCCAAGGACAGCCGGGGGAGGCTCTGGAAATTGCAGGGAAGGTCGTTCACGGCAGCCTCTGGGAAAGCAGGGTGGGGGCTTCATGCCACCCCTGGGCTCACCAGGCCGAGGTCTGCAGCTGCTCTGACCTGGGCCCACACCCCTGCCATGAGTCACCATGCCAGGCTCCATGTTTCTGACAGCCCATCTATGAAATGGGGGCAGGAATAACAAAGCCTCCCTCCCGGGGGGACCCGGCGCAGTAGGAGTCATCACCAACAACGTGCTGTGTGGTGAAGGGCTTGTTCGGCCATCCATCCAAGTGATCATTAGCCAGGATGAGAAATTTACAATGTGGAGACTGAAATCCAGTGAGATGATGGCTCTGCTTTCTAATCACTTTCAGGGGATGATATAATGCATCGATCGACAGAGACGAGCCACAGTTTGGGCTCTGACCAGTGTCTGCGACTAAAGCAGCAGGCTTGTTAACTTAGATTTACAAATCTCCCTCCTGGCGAGAGGACGGCATGGGTGGGAGGGAGCTGCCACTGGGGTGGGATACTGGGGGGACCCAGGAACCACGTTGGGACCCCTCTTGATCCTGCCCCAGAAGAATCCTAAGGAATCCCTGTCCAAGGCGGCCACTAATAAGATGAGAGCAGTCTCCTGATGGGGAGTGAGTTCCCCAACTCTGGAGGAATGTAAGAACTCAGCGTTCAGTCGACAAGTGTCTACTAATGCCTCCCCTGTGCCATGATGGGCACAGGCCCTGAAGGTACTAAAATGACCTGACTCAGAGCCTCTCTTTGGGAACTCATGACCCACAGGGCCAAGACCCATCCGCTAGTGCTCAGGTGACCAGGTGTCTGGAACAGGAGCTGCTGGGCCCAGAGAACGAAAACAGACGGATTCTTCTCTTGATTTATCCCCTTGCAGCTGGGGGCTGAGAACACTCCTGGCTCTGGTGCATCCGACTGGAGGATGATAAGCTAGTAGTCACCTGGGGAGGACAGATTCCAAGGCAAGAAACCCCAAGAGGAACTTGCTGAGCAGGAGGGAAACTGGCCAGCAACTCCAGCCCCATCCACAGCAGGGAGGTGTCAGCAAGAGATGGCTCCCGGGCCCTGCTCTGGGCTCAGGCGGCCTTGCTGCGGGGCCCACGGCTGCAGCTCCCTGAGGCCCGAGAGCTCAGCGTGCACAAGGACCCCTGCCAAATGGCTGTCTTCATCCTCACCCACTAAATCCTCCACTCACTATGGATAGAGGGCTTCCTGGGGCTTCTCCCCATCACTGGTGTCTTCCATTCGCACGGGCGGAAGAAAGGCCTTTGGCTTTGGGGGAGGGAAACTCATCTGTGTCCCCGCCCAGGATGCTGTGAGGGGCCCTCAGGTGTGGACAGAGCAGCTCCCAGCTGACACTCATGCCTCCCAACACGGAGACCAGCCTTTTGTCAGTGTTTGTCACCAGTGGACAGGGACTTCAACAGTCACCTGGTGTCACCTTGATCACCCTCAGCTCTGCTGTCCCAATTCTGGGCCTCATTCTCTGCTCCTGAGAAGGGCATCCTCTACGTGGACAAAGTTCCTGATTGTTCCAGGCTTCGGAACCTTGGGAGAAGGGACTTCTTGTCCACATACAACATACACGTGCTGGGCCAGGTCTCTCGCTGGCCTGGCAGTGGTAACGTGTTCATCCCTGGGCCAATCCCTGAGGCTGGAGGGTGGGCTGCTGTGACTGGCAACGCGCCCCTCCTCCCAGGACCACAGGGCTCAGGGGAAGGGCCTCAGTCACCAAAGCAGAGAAAGGGGGGACATGGACCCCTGCCAAGGAAGAGTCCACGGACCTCTTCAGCAGCTACTGTGTGCCAATCCCTGGGCTAAATGCCTTTTCTAAAACTTTTCTCAAAATCACCCAGAACACAGGCTGATAGCGTCATTGCACAGTAACAAGGCCTAAAGACTGAAGCAGCTTTGCCCAGCGAGGAAGGGGCACTCGTGGGAGGCGGACCTGATGCTGTTTCCAACCCCGAAGGCTCCCTCTTGGGCCGCCGCCTCCACACGGGTGCGAAGGAGGCCAAGGCTCTGCTCCAACAGCAGCGTCCCTCGGGAATGGTGGCCTGAGCTGTGTGTGTGATGTGTCTGGTGTGTGTGAGTGTGTGTGAGTGTGCTGTGTGTGAATGGGTATTCATGTAGGGGGTGTGGTATGTGTGTGGTGCGTGTGGTGTGTGTGGGGGGTGTGTGTGTATGATGTGTATGAGTGTGAATGTGTGTGGTGTGTTCCTGTGGTGTGTGGTGAGTATGTGGTGTGTGTGTGCGTGTGTGTGTGAGAGAGCTGGCACCACGAGCCACGCCTGGCCCCCGCGCGCCCCCCACACCTGTGCTCCGGGCACAGCGAGGTGACGACGTCACTCCCCAAGGAGGCCGCGCGGGTCTCTAAGCAGCCCCTTCCCTGCCGCCGAACAGCTGGCCACCATCTTGGCACACATTTCCCTGTCACATCTGATTTGCAAAGTCGTGTCTGTAACAGACCCACAGGAGCGTCCAGTTGGGGCTTTTACAGGTCAAGGCGTACTTTCCAGTCTCTCGTTCTTCAGAGAAAAAGAATGTGAACAGCCCTCCTGGCTCCAGGGCAAGGCTGACGTTTTCAGCGGTGCAGTCTTCCTCCAGCCACCCTGGGCTATGGCCTTAAGGATCACCTTGAGGCTCTGTCATTATCCCATTTCACAGATGAGGAAATTGAGGCTCATAGGAGCCGTGTCATTTCCCCCAAGGTCACACGGTGGCTAAGAGCAGAGCTAGGATTTGAACACGGCCTCTCTGGCCCCTCAAGCCCTCCTTCGTCACCATCATGTCCACAGCTTCCCTGCAGATGCCTGAGCTGAGCTAACTCCAGGACCTCCTCCTCCAGGAAGCCTTCCCAAGCTGTCCCAGCCCTCCTTGGCCCCTTGCCTCTTTCTCACTGCTGACTAGCTTTCTGGTGTCCAGAGCATCCAGGGAGGG